TGATGGTGAATATACTTTAAAAAGCTTTACAAAACATGTTATCTATCTTGTTATTAAATTCTATAAATAAAATAAACATTAATTGCTAAATGTAATATACATAAAATATAAAAACTAGTAATTATTATATTTTGAAAGTCTCCAACTCCAATTCTAAAAATACTCTCGTCAATTATATAAATACATCTCATTCCAGTAATAATATACGTTAACTAATGATTCATCAGCTCGTTTGGCTTGATTTTCATTCATAAATTTTTTATGGTGTTTTATGATTAGGTCTTCAATAATGAAAAGAAATATTTTCATCATATTCCGAAATTTATCAGTAGTAAACCGCTTAATATTTTCCAATCTGTTTTTAAATAATTTAAGATCAGGAAATCTTGGAATTTTGGTCAGATGATTGTCAAGTTCATCAACTGCTATTTGATCACACAATTCCTTCAATATTTCTCTTGTGTAGGTCACTTGATAATTAAATAATCCTAAATCAAAGTGATGCATTTGGTCAGGTATTATTGACGAGTAAATATTTAAATAATTATAAATAAATATTATTAGAAAATTGATACAATTATACGCTTTTCTTTAATAATCATGTGATACTCACAGATATTTTCAAAAGATATTTTCCATATCATACAAAGAATACTGTCGTGCAAAACCTTGTTTAATAAAACTTTTCATAATTTTCAGTGTTCTCAAAATAATTTGATCATCTGTTAACTTCACATTATTCAAATTTTCACCTTCTACTAAACAATGATGACATAAATGGTTACAATTAATAGAATTATATGTTAAAGTTACTGCAATATTTTCTGAAAGATCTTCTAATATCACAGAAATGAATGGATAACATCATAATTTATCATTGTCTGTTTAAAGATCGAATCTCTCAATGTTATAATCAAGCAATGGTTGCATCAATATATCTAAAGCATACTGATAAAGAATACGTTTTATCAGTTAAAAGTTTTTAGATTTTTTTTGAGAAATGGTTTTTGCCTTTAATTGTGAAAGATATCCCAATAGAATCTTTGCATCAGATTTATTCCTAATCTAACTAGGAATATTTCTCAATGTCAAGTAAATGGGATGTTCACTAGTTTTACCCAATTGATCGCATATTGTCGCATTAGAATACAAGATGATTAACAAAACATTGGTTCCTTTGGGAATCAAATTTTATACCTTCTCCCACTATTCTTTATTATACTGTTTACAATAAATCTTTTGACCTTTATGATATAATGTTTTAAATTCAAAAATACAATGCTGAAATATATTTTAATTACTTAACAATTTCTTTATTGCATTGAAGATTTGACGATAATAAAGGTAATATATTTCTTTATTGTATATCATAATTGGAACTTTCTTAAAGGAAATATGTGATACATTTATTCAATCTAATAACTGGTGGCCTTATATTACTGATAAAGATAAAATTATATCATCATAGCAAATCTTGCGTACAAATTTGAGTATATCACTACTGCATGTATCTGATAAGTTCCACCTAGTAAGCAATTCTATAAAATCTCCAAATTCTTCACTTGGAAATTCTGGCTTATATATTGTTAAACTACTAATATCAATAGACTCAAAGGTTTGAATCAGTTCAACGTAAAGCAGTAAATATTTGATTTTATCATTATCGATCACTTCCTATATATAGATGTTAATAAAGTATAAATAAATTATTTAACACATTGATCTTTTACCTCTTTAATTGCTGCTTCTCCTGGTTGTTCATTATAGTTTAACTCTTCCTCCTCCTCCCTTCCTAATTGTTCGTTATAGTTCAATTCTTCTTCCTCCTCCCTTCCTAGTTATTCGTTATAGTTTAACTCTTCCTCCTCCTCCCTTCCTAGTTGTTCGTTATAGTTCAACTCTTCCTCCTCCTTTCTTCCTAATTGTTCGTTATAGTTCAACTCTTCCTTCTCTTCTCCTTGTAGTTGTTCGTTGTTGCTCAACTCTTCTTTCTCCTCTCCTCAAAATTGTTCACTATCACTTAACTCTTCTTTCTCCTCTCCTCATAGTTGTTTGCTATCACTCAACTCTTCTTTCTCCTCTTCTTGTAGTTGTTCGCTATCGCTCAACTCTTCTTCCTCCTTTTTCCCTTATAGTTATTCATTATAATTCAACTTTAATTCATTATCATTCAACTCTACTAGTTGTTTACAAGTATTCGTCTCTTGCTCTATTTCTTCAGAAATTTCTTGTAAAATCTTATTAACTACATTATCATGAATTTTTACATGATTTCGTAATGAAGAACGATGACTGAACTCTCTTTCACAAAATGAACATACATAGTTTAGCATTTTTTCAAGATTGATTTAAAATAGAATAAAATGTAGATTTTTGTTTTGACAAATTATATAGGTAAGTTTAAATAAACTATTTATCCTGCATAATTATTTTAAGTTTGAGAAGCATCAATAAATATTTAATAAGCATCAACAATATAATTATTTTACGTCATATAGTATTACTTGTAATATTAATATGATGAATTTAAGAATCATAGCGTTTAAAAATCAAATTAAATTGATTAATCACGTTGTTCATGACAACAGATGTAAATCATCAATATAAAAAGAGTTGAGAAACATTAATAACTTTTTTTTGTTTTTTTTCTTTTTTTTTTCTCTCTAAAATATATACTTTGATAATAAGTGATCCTGTTAACTATAACAATTTAAGATGTCTAAAAACAAGATCAATCACGAATGAAAGGATAATTATATATAATTTATAAATTGGCATATTTGTTTAAATTTATTTTTTATGTTTGCTAACTCGTAATTACATTTTAGACTTTAAAAAAGGTATTATAAAAAATTCCTTATTTAGTTACCGAAATTAAACAGATGTACTAATTTTCTAAAAACCAAATATAGCATTGAAAGAAAGTCATTCAACTAATATTAATAAGGAATTAGTTGACAATTCACGACTAAAAAAGAAAACAAAAATCTCAAAGATCAACTTATTTTCAAATAATGATGATACTTTCGCTTAAGCGTCTAAAAGTTTATCATCTCAACTAACAACTCAACCGATGGCAAGTTATATTTTCGTTATTATTGTTTATTTTTTATTATTTCAATATTTTTTCAGTATATTTATCATATATTTTCATTAGGCAAAAGAAGCATCAACAATGCCCTTTCTCGTGGTAGTAATACATCCTTATTCTACATCTAAAACAATATTAAAAGTTGTGAAAAATTCCAAAGAATCTGTCAAAGGTCATACAGAATTTATATCAGTAGTTCAATATTTATCTCGCGTTTACTTACTATTAAATTAATTCTAAATTGTTAGGCAATTTTATGTATGAATTAGTGAAATTAGTTAAAATCAGTCAAAAAAATATGACAAAACTTAACTATATAACAACTAGACAGGAAAATTTAGAAAAAATGTTGAACAATCAGAGTACTCAAATATCAGAAATATTGTTAATATTAAAGGATTATGAAAAAATATATCCCAAAATTGAGATGAAATATAAAGGAAAAAAAAAATCAAAATCAAAAATACAGACGAGTTTTATCAAATAAATATAAATTATTTGTACTGTTTTTTTATATTATTTATATTGGCTTATAATTACTCACATTATAGAATGCAGTTAAAAAGTTAGCTCATGAATTATTTTATGAGCACAAATAAGTAGGTGAATAATAAATGAAAGATCATATTAAAGAAAAATTAGATGCCAATGAACTTTGTATTAATATGTTCTAAAAATCTGAAGAAAAGGTTTAACGTTTGATGATTTATGGAATAAAAAGATAAATTCTGCTGTAAGTAGTCAGTGTTAATTTAAATAATATTATATTAGTGGTTAACAAACATATACTAATTTATTTGATAAATTAATCAGTTTCTTGTTGCAATCTGTACAAAATGAGGGTATTATGTTAGACGTGTTAAAGATAGTTTATAATCAACATTTGATGTAGACTGAATTAAACCTTTCAAAGATAATTACACGAAACAACAGATAAAAGAATGAAAACAGAACAAAAATATTCGAAAAGTATATAAAGATCTATATAAGTCTAGTAATTCTGAAAATGAGAAAACTGATACATATATAGCATTAATAATTAAATCCATTTTTACAGCTGAAAAAGAACGTATAGCTTCAAATGGTATTTGAATTCAATTAGTCATCAAAACTATATTTGACGAAAAACATCTTTCTACAAAAATTGATTCAGAAGTTATAGAAACGTGGACTGGCACGTTTAATGATACGGAAATGGTAAGTAAATACTGACTAAATTTATATGATAGTATTTTAAAGTTAATCACTTAAAATATCTTTAAATTTAGGATGACGGATTCCTGATATATTCATCTTTGTCTATGCCTAATTACAATACACCTGTTGATAACCCTGTAGATGTTGATTAATTTATATAATGATATTGTAGTTAAAGACAAAATTTAAATAACTATAGTTTATATACTATAAATTATAAATAAATTTCAATTAAAACCAAGTGTGTTTTTCAACTAATTAATTAGTAATATTATATGTGTTATTTAACTAGTTATATGCATTTTTCAATACTGTTATTTTACTGTATATATTGTTCTACACGTAAATTGTATTGATTTATGCATTTTATAATAGCATTGGTTGACAAAGGATTTATTGCTCAACACTTTTTAGCATTAAACAACATATAGTATTTGTTGATATATCAAACGCCTATCCAAAACTTCCTGATATAGAAGTCCAAATTTTGTTTCAACACTTGTTGAAATTTTCTGCCAAGTATTACAAGAAACCTCTAAAAGGAGATTAATACGTTATAGCTTGAGCTTTTACGTAAGAGGTCTCTATTCTCTAAATATATATTTGTATATAACCAAAAAAAGGTTGATATTGAAGAAATATTAATTCTTGACTATTCAATGAGATATGAAAGGGATCTATAATAGGAAGGAATGACAAAATAGAATTAGTAATATTAAATTGATCACAATATAATATATGATGAGAAATGGCTGTCCTAAGATAAATTTGTTCAGACCAATCAACAATAATAAGAATAATATATCCTTTTTAAATATACTGCTGTAAAGATAGAATATCTATAACAGCATTAATAGCTTTAATGTATGCATTTAAACCATGAAGATTATTCTCTTATAAATCTATAAGAACAACATTTTTCATTGAATAGACATTAAGTTTCTCTTTTAGTCTAATGTCATAACTATGTATAATTAACTTTTCCAATCTAGTATTATTAACTGAATGAAATCTTCAACGTTAGTTATGTGAAAGATTAAAAAGCATCATGAATCTATTATTCAGATTTAGCTTTATCAACTCAGCATCGATCAATCTAGGATTATGTATATTTACATTCAAAATTGCACATTGTGTAGTGATTAAATTTATTAAAATCATTGCCAGATGTATTGCAGTAGAAGTAATAGTTGTGTTTAGCATCTGCTTCATATGGATACTATGATAATCATCAATGTTTAAGATCATAACCTTCTCTGCATATTTCACAAGCATAAAATCAACAGTTTTAGCATGATTATCAGAGATGATAGTTTTATGCTACATAATTGTTCAGAATATTATAATTTCACCTAAATCAGCAAGAGTATTTATAGAGGTATTAGAAATACCAGTGAAATTCAAATATATTATCAAATCTATCTTTACATCATTAACAAACTTGTTACAAATTCTGCAAAGAAATTAACATATAAATAGGAGCTGCTTTTTCACTTGTGCTTACAATATTTTATTTTTTAAAAGGTTAAATAAAATATATAACTTATCAAAAAAACCTTTAATCTTGCATCTTTCCCTTTCATAACTACACAAAAATTATCAAATAAGTAGATTGTTTGTTTTTTCTCCTTATTTTCATAAATATATAAAATTTTAATTATTATTTCTATTACCTCAGAGAAGGATAAAACAAAAGGTAGAAATAGCAGTAATGAAAATGAAGGTAAAACTAGAGATAGAGGTGGAGGCATAAATGAAAGTTCTATATCAGCTTGAGCATATTGTTAAAATACAAGTGTACGATTTATCACAATTCTGTTATAATAACCTAAGCAAATCATATTACTTACTTGTAAATAACTTGACAAAATATTGTTAGTTTAACCCTTTACAATAACATATTCAGTTACCTTTTTCCATTTTATTGATTTCTGATTTTAGCATATTGTAATTACACATAGTTCAGTATTTATATTACCTACTAAGTAAAGTACCTTTAAAATTGGAATTATTTCAGGATTATTTTGTGTAGTGAATGTAAACACACCTTTAAGAGAAAAAAATTTTTATATTTTTATATGTAAAATGTTATATTTTCAAAAAGTACTCTAAACTAGAGTTTCAGATAAGTCGAGTTAACTCACGAGTCAGATAAGCCGAGTCAAGTTTAAATCGAGTTGAGTTTATGTTTTTTTGACTTGATGATTTGCGAGTCAAGTCAAATTCAAGTCGAGTTAAATATTTAACTTGACTCGATTTAAACTTGACTTGATTCGAGTTAACTTGAGTTGACTCAAGTTGACTTAAATGATATATTTTTATTGTTCAAGAAGAATGATGACAAATTGTTCGACTTAAACAATATTTTTTTATTGTTCAAGAAAAACGATGATGAATCGTTCGACTTGAATGATATTTTTTTATCGTTTAAGAAGAATGATGACGAATCGTTCGACTTGAATGATATTTTTTTATCATTTAAGAAAAATGATGACAAATCGTTCGACTTGAACGATATTTTTTTATCATTCAAGAAGAACAATGATGAATCATTCAACTTGAACGATATTTTTTTATCGTTTAAGAAGAACGATGATGAATCGTTCAACTTGAATGATATTTTTTTATCGTTCAAGAAGAATGATGACGAATCATTTGATTTGAATGATATTTTTTTATCATTCAAGAAGAATGATGATGAATTGTTCAACTTGAACGATATTTTTTTATCATTCAAGAAGAATGATGACAAATCGTTCAACTTGAACGATATTTTTTTATTATTCAAGAAGAACGATAACGAATCATTCAACTTGAACGATATTTTTTTATCGTTCTTCTTAAATGATGATGAATCGTTCAACTTGAATGATTTTTTTATCATTTAAGAAGAATGATGATGAATCGTTCAACTTGAACGATATTTTTTTATTGTTCTTCTTGAATGATGACAAATCATTCTTCTTGAATGATGATCCAAATCATTCGACTTGAACGATGACCTAAATTGTTTGACTTGAATGATAACGAATCATTTACTCTTTTTCTCCTTTCCCCCCCTCCGATCTTTTCATTTTTTTTTTATTATTTTTTTTCAAAGTCGAGTCAAGTTAAATCGAGTCGAGTTTAAAATTTATATAACTCGAATCAAATCAAATTAAAAGATTTTATAAAATAAATTTGACTCGACTCAATTCGAAAAAAGAGAGTTGAATTGAGTTGATCTTTAAACTCGACTCGACTTGACTCATTTGGAACTCTACTCTAAACTGTATAAATAATATACTGATCAATTAATTAGGATCGACCAATCATATAAAAGTCCTTCTATGAAGCTATGATACAAATTTAATTATGAGATAAAGATAATTATTTGACTTTGAGAATGCTCTGACTTCTTTGCAGGAGTTCGTAATTTGTTTAATTCTATTATTATTTAAAAAGACTCATTGGCATCAGCTATTTTATCTTTAAAGGTTTTAGCCTTTTTAGCAAGAATATTTGTCATTCGTCTTACACATTCTACAAGATTCTGTTAAATTTTATTATTAGTAAAAATTTAATAGCTCATAAAGTAAACTAATCAAAAAAAATAACGTACCCTATAAACTAAAAACTTTTTATATAATAGGACAAGTTCACCCACATCTGAATCTTTTACTGATAAAGATTTTGATGCCTAATCCCAAAAACTATACAGATTTCTATCAACTTAAAAAAGAATGTATAACTGAATTCTTATTCTGATTATTTGAAAAAACAGTATAAATATCAAAGCTAGCCCTTTTTGTAAACTATCTGGTAGAGGATTTCTGCTACTCTACTCAATAATTTAAGTTTCAATTTTGATATGTTGCATTTTAAACACTTTGATCATGTCGACAAAGTTAGTTTTTATCTTATTGTGATTGTCCTTATAGGTTAACCTACTATTCTCACCAATACCAGCCTCTATAGATGAGCTCTACATATAAAATCTTACTCATGTAAGATTAATTATTTATTTTTATAATCAAATAAGATAACATACCTAATACAAGAAATCATATATTTTGCTAACACGTTAAGTTCTAAAATATTCTGTTTTATCATAACAGTCTACATTAAAATAGTTTTCACTGCTATAAAAGAGAAAAAATGATGCTTAATACAGTAGCGGTCATAAGTATCTGACCGCTCAAGATCATCCAAAATTATTATATAACTACCCTTAAATTTTTCAGAAATATGATGTAATACAATACATGATCGCCTGTAAATTTATAAGTGTCAATAATACAAAAAAAAAATTTAGATGATCATCAAACTTTCGCTTGAAAAATGGAACTTTCTTTAGAGAAATGATATGAAAT